CCGTTGTGTCATAATTCTAAAATTGGTCGAAAAAGGTTTTTAACACTTATTTTAGATTTTTTTGGGTATTTCGAGATACTTGAAGCGTGTTTTAATCTCCGAAAAAAATTTAGGGAATCCAAGGACCGCCAATAGGTGCAGCTAAAAGTTTAGTATTCCAGACACCGATTCGAGTAAGAATCCATCATATTATTCTCTGTTATGGAATTGAAGTTTAATAATAAATAATACGGTATTTTGCATAATTTAAAAAATTTTAATAATTAATTACCGGTTACTAATGGAGGCGGAACTGGTTATTTATTACTATTTGTCCTATTTTAATTGATTGATTGATTGATTTTATAGTTTTAAATGCATAATAATATACTAGAGTTGGTAGGATGATTTCTTTGTGTTTTCCTAATGCATGTATTGCTTGTTTTGCGTGATTTACAGTTAAATTGCGAAACTAGAAATTAAATGTAAATGAAAAATTGCTTGATTAAGTGAATGAATAAATGGTAGCCCTACTGGATATCTTGGGAGATGGTGGACGAACCAGATACATAGAGAACCCTACCGTGAACGTTATCTCATATCGGACGGGATATTAAGGATTGGTTTTTGGTGCTCATACCGAACAGGGTATATGGATGACCCGTTTCACCCTCATTCCAGACGGGGTATTGAGAGATGGTATTTTTTGGCGTTTATACCATATAGGGTATGAGGACGGCCGGTTAATTGACAATGTTGAATAAATGTTCATGCGTAGCATTCTTATGGGCTCCCATAGATACCAGTAGACAGATAAAAATGAAAAGTTATTATTCTGACTAATTAAAAATGAGATTATGATGTTGTTTGTGTTATTAACTCTATAGGTCAGTTTTGAAAATCTTGCTACCGTAAGTATGTAATAAATGATTTTATTTATGATAAAAGAATTTACGTAAATTAAGAGCTCTATTAGTTGTTTTTATGATTTTTATCAACCTTCATTTCTGTATCGGTGAGTAATGTGACATTCTTACTGAGCTAGTATAGCTCACTCTTTCATTAACCATTTCAGATCAAGATGACTAAGATCCAAATTCTGATCTACAAGAGAGTTGCGAATAGGATGCCCAGTTGTTTACTTTCTATTTATTTCTTTGGTTTTTTGTTTGTTCTTTTAGAATAGTTATCTTCGTATTCTTATTGGATATTTCAAATTATTGTATAAAGAATGTAAACTTTAACTTTATTATTTCGTTTCCGTATTTAATTTATGATTCTATTTCCTTTTAAGTTTTGAGTCATTACAGCCAACCTTAATTAATAAATTAGTTTGATCAATTTGCTATTGGTTTAGTATTGAACCTATCTGGTCACACATTAACGAGTATTCTAATTTTTGCTAAATAGATTAATTATTTTAATTATTTAAGAATTAAATTAGATAATTTAATTTAATCAAATAAATAATTTTTTTTTTCTAAATGAAATATTATTATATTTTTTGCTAGCACCGATAATATAATTAATATTGAAGATAAATTGAATTTTTTTATTTTTAAAACAGAAAATTAATATTTATATTTTTTATTATTATATTATTAGTATAATAATATAATATGTATAGTTATTATAATAATTGAGATTATTATAAAATTTAATTTGAAATTAAATTAATTTATAAAATTATTTTATTAAGAAATAATAATTAAAAAATAAAAACACATATATATGACATATATATGTATATGATTGAGTGTTAAAAAGAAAAGAAAAAGAAAAAGAAAAAAGATAGATGAGTCCAAGTTAGGGAATTTTTTCTGTTAAAATTTTATGATATGTATTATTCAATTTATTCATGTATTCTATTGATTAAAAAGTTGAATAACAAATATTAATTTTGGTATGGACACATAAAATGTTCGCATTTTTAAATAATTTTAATTTGGAAACTTACTGTCAGATATGTTTTAAATTTGATTTTTAATCTGTAATATAATTTTTAAGTACAAATATATTAGATTAGATTATTTTATATTTTTTACTGTACGTTATAAATATATTACAATCCCTTATAATATTTAAATAGAGAGAAAAAGTGAGTAAGAGCATTAAAAATTTTAACAAAAGATCCCTCAATTATGTTATAACTCAATTATATTATAACTGTATCATCTTTAAATAATATATAATTTCAATTTTTTGATGCTTTTTTTTTTATAAAAAATATTAAATTCAATAAAAATAAATTTGGCATCAAATAAAGGTCCGGTCCAAATTAAAAGATCCAAATGGCGGCCTGGATATAATGACAGCAAGACCACAGTCTTTTCTTAATTTCTTCAAAAACTTTACAAGAAGTGTAA